TACTGTATATATATGAGAAGAAGAGGCAATCAGGGGAACCACAGTGTTAATTTCCTGAAGTTTCAAAAGCGTACGGGCTCTCCTATGTATATGCTTGTTTACGGGAGTCATTTTTGGTGTGGTAGAGCAAACTACAAGTACACCCATGTCTCATTTAATTTCATGGCACAAAGCATGCCCGATTCGCGTAACAGGAATCCGCTCTTCTCATGCTTGCATTTACCTGATATTCATAGTGGGCAAACAATGTTCTCCGTTCACACAAAGGATATCGTAAGGACGTCACTGGCTTACATTTACGTTCTTTTATAGTAAAACATGCAAAAACAACAGCATTTACTATTTCTTAGGAAAGTACTCGGATATCAGGCATCGTTGGATTCGGTCCACGTAGACCTAGATTCTCCTTCAATATATACTGATCTGAAGTGAACCCTTTGCTGGTATAAAGCATGTTGCGCAACACAATTTAATTCAGTGAATAAAATAAAAAGCACCCACTTTCTGTTAAATCATCTTGTGAAAATGCCACCTGCCCTTTTCATGCGTAATACAATCTACCGTACGTTTCTTTGCTCTTGCAGAAACCCATCAATAATCCGAGCCTCTCTGTAGTTCGTAGAAGCAAGACCGTTTGTGCAGCAGGCATAAACTACTGGACGGTTATCATTGTCAAGAGTGCCATTCCCAACTACACACGACGCCTTCTGCTGCGGAAGGTCATTCGTCGGCAGGATGCCCGGGTGCGGGTCCTTTTCAGTCTTGGGCTTCCTGCAAATGGCCAAATACCACCTGATATACTCAAGGAGATCAGCCAATTTGATGATCTTCTGATCGCAACCTACACGGACACCTATCAGAATCTGACTCTGAAGACCATCGTCAACCTACGCTTTGTTCACTACAACTGTCTACACAGCAGCCCGTCGTTCGTCTTCCTGGATGATGACCATGGCATTAATCTGACACAGCTACACTGCGTGCTCTCAAAGTACTCAGTTTCGGAGTTGCGTGGAGGCATCTTCGGTGCCATCTACCCGAGGAGTCGGGTGATGCGAAGGGTTCAGCATAGATGGTTCACGCCCATCGCAGACTACCCCTTCCCTCTGTTTCCCGCTTATGCAAACGGGCCCTGCTATGTGATTGGGGCTGATCTCATTCGCAAACTTTCCATCGCCTCCGCCTTCACGCGTCCACTGCCCAATGAAGACGTCTACGTGGGCATGATGTTGTTAAAGTTGGGAGTTGACATTCACCCTCTGCCCAATATCTTACTCCACAAACGCCTAGAAGCCACCAATGCATCCCCTCTGGTGGCAGTGTTGAAGCATTTCGTCCGAGTCCTGAACATAAAGTAGTCCCTTTTGTACATACTCTGGGGTTTGGAGCCAAACAACTCCACTACTTTTTCTACTTGTCCATTAGGGCATGACAGTGCATTGTTTGCCATTTTAGCTCTAAAGATAATGCAAATCAACTTGAAGGATTAATGAAGTTTGTCGGTAATTGCAGACTATTTATTTAA